CCATAAAGAAACTGCTCTGGAATTAGTTTGGAACTGAACTGAGACCACCTCCTCCAAAGGGTCTCCGTATGATTGCTTTAGTCTGCACACGAGCACGATTACAGTGTCCACATCTGTACTGATTAACTGCACCAAAGAGGAATACTGTCCAGCCAACAGAATTTTTATTTTTATTATGCAACTTACGCAACCAAGCATGCAGTGCCATAATATTGTGCTGTGGATGGAAACGCTAACTGTCATCTAGCTTAACTTCACTAACCTTCAAAAACCTCACCGGCACTTATTTACTCATGTTACTTTTTTGAGTCCAAAGTGACACGAGGCTGGTATATTTTTGTTTTTTAGGACATAAATCATCTTTAGATGTCGAGTACCTCACTAGCTTAATGACAGCTACTGCTAAATCTGCACACCTATACATATCTTCTTTGCCATGAAAACATGGAAGCCACATTTGACTATGAAGTCAGAGTAGCAACTTCATAGCAGCATAAAGAATTGGGAGTATTTACTCTAAATGGTTCCTCTGTGTTTGCTTCCTTTTGTGAAGTGAGACTAGCAGGCTAGCTCCCGTTCCTGATGACAACAAAACTAAGAGGATTGAGGGAAAAAAAGGAAAGTGCACGAACGCTGGACACACCTTAGCTTCTTTGAGTTTATCCTTCTCCGTTTTCTCCACGTCCTGACCAGCATCATCACCAGTGTTGGTCACCATGCTCTCCTCCTCTGGACTGCCTTGCTCTTCTGCCTCAGGCTGGTTTTGCTCCTTCTCTGCAGCCAAGTTCAACTGCTTTTCATGAGTATTCTCTGAAATGATAAATCTTTGTCAGCGTAACATTGAACACCACAAAGTATGATTCAGTCTCTTGAATCATACTTTACGGGTCAAGTAGGATTTAGGTTATTGTTTTACTTTCTGAACTACTGAATTAAACTTTCTGTATGCTCATGTGAACAAATGGAGATCAAACAGAAGAGAGAAGCTTTACTTCTACATCTGAAACTAAAGAGCTGTAACTATCTTGAAAAGACTGTTAAAAAAAAAAAGGTGAGCCTTACCAGCAGTGGGGTCTTTGGCACTGGTGTCCAGAGTTCCTGCCAAGAGAGCGTTGACGTGGCAGATGGGAAACTCATGCAGCGTGTCGTGAAAATGCGCAGGAAAGCCAAAATTCTCCACTCCCGCCCGCACTGGCCCACCCCCTGGGTACATTTGGATCACTGATCCGTAGCCTGGATGAGGAGGAAGCAAAGAGTATTTATTCAAAAGATCAAGGAAAAGATGTGTGCAAGAAGTACAAAACAAACAAGACAAAAACAACCTTAATAACTGCACGTAGAAGAAGAAACTTGCCTCCCATTCTTTCCATGATGGATCCCAGTACAAGCCCAGCACAAGTCTCAAACACCAACACCTTACTGCCAGCGTGGATGTTCGCCAGAGTTAGCATCTGGGCAAGTGTGTCATACCGCAGGTGGCTGCGGCACAGGGAAACATTTGTTTCATGTAGACATCTTACAGCTATTTAAAGAAAACACAATTACTCATAAATTCACGTGCTGACTCACCAGATCTTCCCTGGTTCGCGGCCGTGGTACATCATAGCCAGGATGCGACAGGACGGTTTTAGAATCATCACTGTATTTTCATACCTGCAAAAGCAAAAGACGGGAACAACCGATAACCCTAATTAAAACACAGCTCGTTAAATAACAGTCCAGAACAAGCTGTGGCTGTACCATCATAAGTGACTCACTTTTTCTTCTTCTTCTTGATGTATTTAACCTGGGAATACTCAGTCTTATCTCCGAAAGTGGCGTGGTTATCTACGAGCTTCTTAATGATGTCCTGTGATGACCAGACACAGATACAGTCGCTCGTCTCACTTTATGTTGGATTACAGCAATTTAATTAAATCCTAAAAACACAATGTTCCCACGAAAAGACAAAAACACAAAGTGTTCTGTCTCTTTATTTTCCTACAACTTTGCTATCATGTATGTGGGACTCAACAACAAGCCTGTTGGTTCCCAATTAAGATGTGCAACCACTAAAATCTATTTTAAATAAATATGTCATATGTTTAACTGCTTGTTTACACAAGTCTCTAAGGCAGTAACTCATTTAGATGTGTACTGTGCTAAAGTCTTATGCCACCCCCTATTTCTTTACATTGTGCTAGGAAAACGGGGGAAAAGGTAAAAAAAAAAAAAAAAAGCACTTTATTGAAAAATCAAGCATACATGAAAATACTATATATAAATCAGAAATCGACAATTCTAATGACCAGCCTCAACTGTCTTAGGCAGCTTTCTTGCAATTTCTTTAAATAGTCTTCAGGAACAGTTCTCCAGGCTTCTTGAAGGACATTCAAAGCTTTTCTTTGGACCTTGACTGTCATGATGATCCCACACCAACAAAGTTGAGGTCCAGGCCATAACTATGGGCTCAAAATGTGGTCATAAATATTTTGTACTTGTAAATCAGTTTTGTACTTGTAAATCAGGATTTGTGTGTGTAAAAAAGATTTGTGTGTGTGTAAAAAAGATTTGTGTGTGTGTAAAAAAGATTTGTGTGTGGACTTAGCCAAAAAAAAACCCTGCAAGTTACAAGTATGAATTTTGACCCTATTTTTCTTCCTTTCATCTGATTGGTCAATGCCATGGCAATCACAAATTTAACTATCCAGTCAGAGAACAGATGGTTTGGCTGTCCGAGGGGCACTTTTTTGAACTGCAGGTCCTTGAAGGGTAATACAGTTTGAAGCTGGAGGATCTCTATATAAATATCCAATAGCAGCTAGGTCCCCTAACTTTCAGCAGCTGTTGAAAGGATAAAGTTGCGGTATATCAGTGGTTAGAAATACCATTATTACTTTAGGATTAGTTTAACACAAAGTCAGGGCTGACCCGGGACCATTGCTGTGAGTCACAGTGCGCAGCATAAAAGTCCTTTCACATCGGACGCAGCATGTGCTGCTAACTGCTAACTAAAAGCAAAGGATCCAGAATTTGTTGCTGGCTGCTGAGCTCTGTGGGTTTTTGCAGCAGCTCTACCTGTACTAGATGCACCTGCTCCTTGTCGTTTCTATCTCTGACTTTATGTCCTCTACAAGAGTTTCTGTTTTTTTTGCTAGTTCTTCAAATGTTCAATAAAAACATGTATGCTAATTCATAACGAAGAAAGCTTTGTAATGAGGACTTTCATTTCCAACACACTTTACACACATACAAATTCTTTTTACAAGTACAAAATATTTATGACCACATTTTGAGCCCATACATAACTGATAGTCTTCCATTCTTTGTATTTCTATCCAGGTTACGTCACTGGCACTATGTTTGTGATCCTTATCAAAATGAAGCTGCTGCAAATCAGATGTTTTCCAGGTGGTAATAGATGGTGGATAAATATCTGATTGTAATTTTCTGTGTTCCTAATTCCATCGGTTTTGCCAAGATCCTCAACACTACTGGCTGAAATACAGTCCCAAACCATGACAGAGCCTCCACTGTGTTTTACAGATGGCCACAAACACTCCGTGCTGTACCACTCACCTGATCTATTCTGTTCTTATTTAGGAATCTCAGGATTCATCGTTCCATGAGACTTATCGCCATGGATTCTCAGTGCAGTTCTTCTGTAATTTGGCATTCACAAATTAGAAGTGGACTTGTGAGATTTCGTTAAGGAAGTATTTCCTTCTGTAAAAATGGCTGCTGTTCCACTCAGATCATTTCTGATGAGGCTTCAGTAAACAGTGAAAGGATCAGCTGAATGGCCAGATGAATCTCTCAGGTCCCGTGTCATGACTTTACAGGATTTGTTCCCATTTCTTTATGACGTGACTTTCACATAATGTTCATCGGCTGTAGATAGTTTTTCAGGTCTGCCTAGCTCTTTAGGAATCCCTTTGTTGGTGCAAAAGTACTATTATCAGTATTAACTGAGTTCCCTTCTGTATTTTTCATATATTCAATTAAAGTCATCAATTAGAGATACTCGTCAACATTGGTTTTCCATCCAATTTGCAATGAAAAAAAAAGTATTTTTTACCATCACTCTGTAAGATAACAACTATAGGCAGTACTCTGACACATTTAAATGTGAAATTGTAAAGTTTCACATGTACCTGACCCTTCAGACCTTTCTCTTTAAGAGCCTCAATGTCATCCCTGGTCAGCTTCTGTGATTTGCCATCGTCAACAATGTTTCTGTTGTCTGTACCTGCCTCCACTGCATCTAGGAGGCACAAACAAGCACACAAAGACACTACTGTAAGTAAAAGGTTATAGAAAGTCTATGACATATTTATTTGGGTATAGAAGGTGGTTGTCACAAGTCCAAATGCAACTGGTAGCATAAAAGAGTCAGTTGTATATCTGAAAATATGAAAAAGACTTAAGATTTAACAGCAGGTTACACACCAAGGGGGCTTGCAGTGTCCTTGAGCTCATGTGGCTTTAGATTTCCTCCAGACAAAATTTCAAATGTGGTGCTGTACAGCTGTCCCACTGCATTATCGAGGAAGATCCACTGCTTCTCAAAAATCACCTTTCTAAGAGAGACAGAAAGAGCGGTTTGTTAGTATAATCTGCATAATACATCTCACTGCACTCATGCTTTGATCTGAAAATAACAAATGAACACAAAAGCATCTTATGTGAGCTAATCCTCAGTCTGTGCTTCTCGTAAAAATATTATGAACAGCACAAATTCAGTGCTTATATTTTCCTTTAAAGCTGTTAACTTACTTCCTCGGCTGAATCTGCACAGCTTTGAAGATTTCCCCTCGTTTCAACACAACGTAGTCACCCTCTTTAATTCTGTACTGATTATCGTCGTCTCCGTTGTCCGCCATAACGAAGCTGATAAACGAGCTAACTAGCTCAGCTGAACGATAAATATTTTTCTCAGCTAATGATTCGGGGTCTTCGCTGTCAAGGCACAGTTCAAAAAGGCACTACACTACCCTGAATAAATAGCAAAATATCCCAAATTAATATTTCCACGTGTTAGCTTTCACTTCTCTAGCTTCTCAGGACGGCTAAACGAAAGCCGAGTGCTGCTGGTGCCATGCTTCGACTTACTTGGCTGTGATTGGCTGGTTAGACATCGACGAGCTCGCTAGCCAATAGGAGGGTATAGAGTGAATAGAAGTGCGCTAAGGTTAACTTTAGAGCTCAGAATAATCGATATCATGGGTACAGGGAGGGGAAAAGGTGATCTTTCCGGAGAAAACGGCTTCATAGCGGGACTTAAAGAAGCATTGAAACTAATAATGCAAAATTATATTCTGTATATATAACGTGTTAATTTTTAGAGAACATTATGTGCAACATGGACGAATTTTATAATACTTATAGCAAATAAGGTCTTCTTCTAGTCATATCTATGCTTTTTATTATCTGTGACAATCACGGTGGTGCTGTTTTTGGAATAAGCTGCCTGCTAACCGGAGATCAGTTACATCTGTGACTAAAAATAGACTCAAAAATGTTATATTTTGCTGTCACTGCCTTAATGCGTTGTAAAACTACACAGGTATTTTTGTCTTTTGTGTTAAGCACATTGAGTTTACACAGAATGACATATGCTGCATAAAGTTGTTGCCAATTCCAGTTAAATCTGGCAACATATCTGTATGTTTTTGTATACTATCAGCTTAGAGCATTACAGTATAAAGTCGGGAGAAATCAAATATCACTGAAATACACTGAAAACTATTTCAGTTTTTGCTTTAATAATATACTGACATTTGACATTTACTGAAGTCATGAATCCCCCGTCCAACAAACTTAAAGACCTATTTCAGTTTCCAGTCCATCGGTCTTTCCCAGGTATGTCAAGCAATCATGTGGTTGTTCACATTAGTGGAGGACTTGATTGTTGTTCTAATAATAGCATGTAGAAACAAAGCATTAAAAAATGTCTGTTGATTTTTCCAGATCTGTGCAAATCTATTCCTCTGCAAGGCTTAAGATGCTTCCTTCAGGTGTTTATTTAAAACAAACAGACACTACCTTAACCGTAAAGCAGAGTGGACGCAGCATCAAGTCAGTGATATGCTTTGGCTACAGGATTAAAATAAAAATCAAAAATGGGTTTTCCCAATAAACATAATCCCAAACGTACTTCTAAAACTGTGGCAAAATGTTTTGAGGTTAACATGTTGAAGTGGCTACTGTAAAGGCCTGGCTTGAAGGCAAGAGAAGATTTGGGGCGATTGTTGACCAGCACTGTGCTAGTACTACTGTTGGCTGCAGACGGAGGAGGAGGAGAAGAAGGGGAAGGCATGTTTGGAGGTGGCGAGAAAGAAGGATTGTGGGGCTGAGAGTAGGGATTTTGGATGTAGGGACTTGCTGATATGATGGACGTAGTTAAGGAGGACAAGCAGAGAGTTGGTTTTAGAGCAGGGGTGGGTAACTCCAGGTCTCGAGGGCCGGTGTCCCTGCAGGTTTTAGACCTGTCCTTGAACCAACACAGCTGATTTAAATGGTTAAATTAGCTCCTCAACATGTCCTGAAGTTATCCAGAGGCCTGGTAATGAACTAATCATGTGATTCAGGTGTGCTGACCCAAGGTGAGATCTAAAATCTACAGGACACCGGCCCTTGAGATCTGGAATTGCCCACCCCTGTTTTAGAGGAAGGATGCAAGAAACAGGGAGGGATGGAGGTGGATAATTTGCTGTGGCGAGCCCTACTGGGAGCGACTGAAACATGCAATCAAAAATGTGCAAGCGATTTGGATTAATGAGACTTGTAGTGCTTTAAAGGATCAGATTGATCAGCAAGGGACTATGATACTATATAAGTATCAGTCCAACAGAGCTCATTAAACTCTCAGAAAAAAAGGACCAATTATAAAAACTGTAAGCCAAAAAAAAAAAAAAAAGTGAAACAAGTTGCAAAATAAAAAAAATCCTTTAATTACTTTTTACTTTTTGAAATGAATACATTTGTGCAGCTGGAAAAAAAAGTGTACTTCTTGAAAACATCAGTTCATCCAGACTTTTGACATAGTCTTGACATATTTACATCAACAGCGTTATTTTCCTAGTGCGGGGAACATTGGCGTAACTGATTAAAACAAGATATACGATGAAAAATGATCATAGCATTCTTCTCTGGGTAAAAATATATCACTTTATCTCACTGTGATTTGGTATCACATTTCTTCTGTCACTGATGTGGTCAGTGTTTATGGACCACTGCAGCTAGCGGATGCTCTATTTTCACACTGTAACATAAATGTAAATAAGCGATCAATGCTCTTTAAAAAAAAAGCATAGACTAATACATCTTTGCTCATTCTTGGCCTCCGGTAAGTTTATGGAACAGTTCTTCATCTAGTGTTTCATTCTGGTCTTTAGATCGCGTGGAGAGGAAGATGTAACCACCGATGAACTCGTGGACTACCTTGCAGTCACAGCTCACACAGGAGAAGGCTATTGACACCTGTTGATCAAAATCTATGGCCACCTGTAATTACATACAAGAGATTCAGGATTTAAAGTAATGCTGTCTGTAGATAATACACCAGAAATGTCCTGAATGAAGGAAGAAAAAAAACAATCCCTCACCTGTCTTATCTCCCAGTTGACATTCCACTGCTTCATGTTGGAGAATCTCCATGTGGTGACAGGCAGCCCAGTAGACATGTCAATACGAATCATGCGGTTATATGAAATCCCAAGAATTTCATCCTTCTTACTCCCTTTGAATCTGAATGATTGAAAAATAAGCAAAAGGAAAACCTCTTGGATTATCATTCATAAATGACATTGAACGTCTATTATATCAGTCCTTTCACCGTACCTGACAATGTAGTATTTGATACCAAACTCTGGGAGTGATTGCCATGCTTGGATGAAGCGCATCTTGGCCTCCACCAGGGACAGCTGTGCTATGTTTTGGTGTGCCTCGAGGATACGTGCGGTCAGCTTGATGCAGAAATCAAAGGCAAATTAAATAATAATACTTAAAAAAAAAAGATAGCTGTCGGCAAAGTAAAATATGACGAAACTAAGACGAACCTGTTTGGTCTTGTGTTTCTTTGCGTATCGTGGCGAAACAAAACACTCGGCGTTCATATCCATCGCTTCGACGTCAGGAGCTGCTTGACCAGGAGGGGGCGCCAGGTTCTTCATTTGCAGAAAAGATTGAATGTGCTTCACTTCTGTTTTGTAAGAGCTGTACGCCATTGTCTTGCCTTTGGAAGCGAGGACACATGCAGCTTTCCATTTAGCGTACTGGGTTTCCTGGTCCAAAGGGAAGGAACAGAATAACAAGGTGTAAAGTTTGCCTCAAATTTCTCATGTTTATATGCACAAATATACACAAGGCATTTTTTTTTTAAATAAAGAAGACTTACTGGTATTGACAGAAAAGAAGCACATAATCTCAAAAAGTAAAGATTTTGCTTTGAAAACATTCTCTTTACTTATATGAATGATAAGGTGGGGCTTACATTGTCACATCGGATGTACACCTCATTCATTCCATCAGCCACGGGCAGCAGAAGCTTGATGCCGAACTTCTTTTCAGTGACATTGACATCAGGGACCACCTCACAGCCTGGGAATCAAGAAGAGGAGATGGTAATATAAGAATGGATAGATACAACAGATCTCTAACAGAATATTGTCACAGAATATAACTGCTGTCTTTGTGGCAGCTTAAAAATAATATTAAAGAATTACATTTTATATCTCAATTTCACATCATATATGAAATGATCAGAATACTTTGGTTCTCTGTTTTTCTAGCCTTTGAGGGGAAATGATCATTCTCATTTGGTTCTCAGTGGGAGACTAACCTTTTTTTTCCAGCTATGTATTTTTAGTGCTTGTCTCTATTAATGTAGCTTTGCATATTCATACTTTAACATAATTCTTTCTCATCTTGTACTGGGTCTTTGCAGCTCTTCAGTTCATCCACAACTGGTTTTAGCTCCTCTCATTCCCTCCTTTTCTTCCACTGTCTGACTGGCTGCTCCTTGTAAACAGAGCTATGTGCCTATGTGACCATAATAATCTGCTCTTACTGAAATCATTACCAACAGCAATTTCAATTAAATTTCATCTCAAATGTATTTATATAGCACTAAATTACAAAAAAAAACAGTCCCCCCAAGGTGCTTTATATTGTAAGATAAAGCCCCTACAGTAAAGAAGGTTTTGGGGAATCCTGTTAACTGTTTATTCTGGCATGTGGCATACAAAATTAAGTCCAGAGTGTTATAAAAATGGTGGGTGGGCTTATTTACATTTTGACAGACGCCATTGATTCTAATAACAGATTAAATGCAGTGTTTATGACGTCACGTAGATCGTGTTGTTCTCAGCAGCTACATAAATGTTAAAATCCCCCACCTTGTTATTTTATGAAAGCGGAACACAAAATCAGATAAAAACTCAAAGAATTTAGAAAGAAACTGTATAAGGGCCAGGAGGACTGTAGTTATGACAAATAAAGCAGTTTTTTGTGTGTTATTTTTTGTTTTCTAATTATGATTTACAAGGCTAAGAGTCGGGCTTTCAAATTAATTAAAACTGACTGGTTCTTTTGTTGATTGACAAACATTGGCAGATTGCTGCCAGTTCTCCTCCTCGGCCTGTGCTTTAAGGACTCTGACAATTAGTATGACTTGGGGGTGTTGTCATTTAAACTACCATATTCATCCTGCTGTAACCAGGTTTCTGTAAGGCCAAAAAAAATCAACATGTTGATTATTATCATTACATTATCTACTAACAAACTCCCAGAAAGCCTCAGATCAGCTGAAACACTCAGTTTATTTAAATCCAGGTTGAAGACTCACCTGTTCTCAGCTGTATTTAAATAAAACACCAAATCGGCACTTAAGCTTAAATTTCAAAACTTACATTTTAACTACTGATTTTATCTACTGTTCTGATTTTATCTCTTTTGATTTTATATACTGTTTTGTTTGTTTGTTTGTTAATTAGTTAGTTTGTTTGCTTTATTAATCAATTTTAAATCATGCTTTTTATTTGTTTTTGTTTCTAATGTCTCTGTAAAGCACTTTGAATCACCTTGTCGTTGAATTGTGCTATACAAATAAACTTGCCTTGCCTTGCCTAACAGGGACTTAGAAGAGAGATATCTAAAGGTAAATAATCCACATTTAACACTTTTACTTTTTGGTGGAGTTCTTTCTTTGTCTTTTTATGCTTAAATCATTTGTTGCTGATTCTTTTTGGTGGTTTGTGAGTAGACACAGTCTCCATTAGGATGAGGTTTTGGGGGGATGACAGGAGGAGAGAAGCTACAGCGAGGTATGCTGTGTGACTCCTGAACTTTTGGTACACAGGATCGCATATATATATCCTTATATACATGCAGAGCTCTTTATTTGAAACAATCGCCATGTTTGATAATGTGAAATAAAGTTATGAAATAAAGAAAAGCATAATAGGGCCCATTTAAATTCAAACTTATTAATAATTTTTTCACACAATTCTTTTTTACTGACCTCGGAGGTGAAACTGCTCTATTGGTTCTCCACTGGAGGCCTCCTTGTTCTTGTAGTAAGAGATGGTGGTGTCCTTAAATACAAACCAGTACTCTTTGTATTGGCGCAGCGTCAGTCTTTTTGGCCTGATTTAGCATTGAAAAAGTACATTTGTTTAAGCAAAACTGCATTAAATGTTTTAAAATGTGCATAAAGTCTTATTTTTTAATAACGGAGGCTGCTCGTTCAGAGCAGCAATTCTGAGAGCCTTTCATTAATTATCAGATATCCTCGGGGACATTATAAAACAGGAGCATGAATCAGAGACAAAAAACACACAAAATGAATTTTAAAACAGAATATTTTATGTTTATCCAGTACGC